ACCCTTGGTTGATCATAGTTCATGCGTACATGTTGGAACATCCTTTGGTTATCTCTTGTTTCACCCCTTTGGTCGCCATAACCAAACCCTCCATACTACATCTTCTTCATCGTGGGTCTATTCATTATCTTCTTGTGGAACCTCATATTGGGCTTGATGGTGCAATTGTTGGATAGGGGCGGTGTGGTATTAACATCCAATAGGAGGAGGTGGTGGAGTAGTAGAAGTGTTTGTAGTGTTACTTGCCCCCTCTCCATTTTGCAAAAGACGTTTCTCCCCAATTATAGCAATCTTTTATTCATTAAGCTTCACTGAAAGCTTAATTTCTTTGATTTCATGGGTCAACTCTCCTATTTGTTTCATCACTTGCTCCATGAAAGACTCCATTTTGTTGGGAGACTCTTCACTTGTCCCCGTCATACCTACAAAATGAACAAACAAATTAGTAAAAACAAGGACCTTATGTTCACTCCCATATTATTTTACTCTTGTTCAATGTCTCTCAATTCTCTCGTGTTTCACTCAAGATAATTGGCTTTTATCTCACACAAATATTCTCACTCACTCTTTCCTTTTACCACTCTTGGTTTCCCACAAGTTGATTTTTAACTCCAATCAAGAATATTTTCAACAAGAAGAACCTTCTACTTCAGGGTTAGAGTGGAGTTTATGTGACACGAAAGAACGGTTCAAGTTAATCGACAAGAAACAAGCAACTAAACAACGTAATAAAATAGAAAAGGATAAAAGGATCTAGCACGAAAGAGAAATATCACCCAAAAATTAGACTAACAATAAATATGAACTAATATTAATGTAATCTAATAAGAGTAATCAAAAGTGTAGAAGAAATGAAAGAGAAAAAAGATTAGATCATACAATGCAAACCTCTCTTATTTCCCAAGTTGCGTAGCCTAACCTACACAAGGCTATGTAGCCTACGCACGGAGCCTATGCAAGGCTGTGTAGCCTACGCACAGAGCCTATGCAAGGCTGTGTAGCCTACGCACAAAATGTCCTCAATCTGGTGGCATATGAACTTGCCTACTCAAGCTACGTAGCCTATGCACGTAGCCTATCCAATGCTTCAGATTTGCAATTTTTCTGCAACTTTTCTTCACTTTTTGGCTCGATTTTGAATTTCTAAATTGATCCAATCACGTCCAAATGCCTTCAAACTTCATACTTCACTTAGAAATAACCTTAGTATCAAAGCCCAATAGTTTTTAAGATCAAATTCATAAATCACATCAACTCAAATGGATCAAATTGTACTTTTTCTCATAAACCCACTTATGATAATGATAAACTTGAGGAACAATAAAACTTTCCAAATTCACTTGTAGGCACTCAAGTAACTTCAAATAAACTTTATTTGATCTATTTTCAGAACAAACCTCAATCAATTTCAAATATCAATATGCATCAAGATCCAAGAAATCAAAGATTCAACTTAAGAACATGAAGAACAATTATTATTATTTTTGTTTTTTTGTTTGGAAATTTTCAATAAAATTATATACTTAGCTAATGTATGTAGAAACACACACTAATCCAATCTTTGATACCAAATGATACGAATCTAAGTACGGAATTGAAAAATTAAAGACAAGATAGAAATTGAGAATAGACCCAAAAAAGTAATTGTCAAACAATTGCAATAATCAATTACCCAACAAATTTTACAAAACTTAATAGACTTAAACTATAGGACCCTCAAGAGGACTTCCATTCCTCTTGTGAATACACCTTGTAAGAGTTTGAATCAACAAGTTGGAAATACATGCTCCTCACAATTCTTCAATTTTCAAAGATAAGCTAAACTAGAAATGACCTCATCATATGTTATTTATAATAGGTCCAAATAAACTAAGAAAGATATAAGTACCCACAAGGAAAATCTTTAACCCAAGTCTCCAATCATTGATAAACATGGCCTAGGTCCACATGCTTGCATCCAAGTCATCAAGGGGGCACACATGTGCGCCTATCACCATCCATGTAGACATGACCTTCTACGTGGGCATAGGGGCATAGGCTACGACTTCATCCACGTAGCGTATGTGGTCTCCATGCTCCTCCAAGACCTCCACCCTTAATATATTGTATTCCTTCAAGGGCCTTCCACCATTGTCTTCCTATGCTTCCAAGATATCATAATGTTTGGTAGAGAGGTGCAAATCCTTTAAGGGTCATTTGGTTCGAGGGATAAGATGTGAGATTAAATTTATCCTATAACTAAACACGGTATAAATTTAATCCTAGACTTAATTCAGAATATTCCATCTTATCTCACCTTATCGCATCAAACTTAAGATTATTTTATTCCACCTCTCATATGGTATAAATTAGTCATGAGATTATAATCCCGGAATAATTATTCCTTAGACTTGAGATCTTGTGAGTGACTAAGATGCCATTGGTGTTCCCTGGGTGTATCATCAAGTAACATTCTTGCCTTGCAAAATCTTTTGTCTATTTTGGCACATCATCCTATATTGAACACTATATATTTTAATTAATATCTTGAATTTATCTTGCTTCAATTTTAAGTTGTTATAATTTCTTCTACTATTCAGTGTCTAAAATTGAGTGGTTTATACTCTATCGGTCTAATATTGGTATATTAGTATTCCGTATGTCAGCTTATCCCTATAGCATTCTTAGAGAACCGACTAAATGGGGTGTCTGGAAGTAATTTTTTTGTAATGATATGATTTTTTTAATATTATAAATCAATTATCAAAATTGTGCAACAACACTGGGTTAATTATCAAGATGACAATTGAAAATTGTATGATTTAATATTCTTAAACAAGTCAAATTACCATTTAATAATAATATTTTTTTAATAGTATTCACGCATCGAGTTATAGTACTCGTTTAATTAATAAGAGGATTCCATGAAAACTCATATATATATATATATATATATATATATGTTGGGGGGTGGGGAGATTATTATGATTTAGAGTTTGCAATCTCAATTTTTTAAGTTTTTCTCAAAAAAGTGTTTATTTGAGCTATTTTTGCAAACAAAATATACTCAATTTTTCTGGATATTCTGAAATAAGTTTTTGGAATCTTTCAAAAAATAAAAAGATTTGCAAGACTACGTTTGAAAAACTCTAAGTAAAAGAAAATAAACTTTTTTTGTGCAAATATGTTCAAACAATTCTTATCTCATAGCAAGCTTAGGTAACCAAAGTGTACTACGTGACGCTAAGGAAGTCATGTACTGCATGTTTCTTTAATATGTATTTCTTGTTTGCTCAAAATAATTCTTATCTCATAAAAAGATCTTGTAGACTCAATTATTGCAAATTCTAGAAAAAATAAATTGTCACCCAAAGGAACTATTAATCGCAAAGAAATATCCTAGCTGACAATTAGTTCAACAACAGCTAGCAAAAGAAAGTATTTTTATCTTTTCTTATCAAAGATAGACTTTTTAAACTACAGGCCCGTTTGTCCATAATAGTTTCCAGGCTAAATACATAAATAGGCTCTTTAAGTTGTCCTCGACCATTTTTAGTTCGACATCTTCTGCTCGGTAAAAGTGTGCCCAGTAGACATCTTAGGATGATATGGCAAATCAAGTGTGTTTCACCTAAATTGGAGCGCGTGAGCTTATTGTGTTTTTGTTTTCTCCTTATTCTTTTAGATTAAACTTTGTGGGTCCCACCATGATTTTTTATTTTCCCCATGTTAATTCCAATTTCTTCACCGAAAAATTCATCTCCACCATAATTTTAATGTGGATCTCAGAGCCTTCTTAATTTTTCCCAATTTAATTCCAGTCTACTCCCAAAACAATTCATTTCCATCACCAAATTTCTTGACCTGAACACGGAAATATCTGTAGCTCTTTCACCGATGAAATTTCGGCCATTAATTCACCTCTTCTCCTTGAATCTTGAAAAAAAAAATTAATAACATCCACCGCTCCATAACAATGTCACTAATCACGCATAATAATTCAATCCCATTTTCGGCAATCGACCTTCTCCAATTCCCTTTTGAGGCTACAGTTTGAAATTTTTCATGGTCCAATTAAATTGTCTTTTAGCAACTGGTAGTGACGCTCCACTTGTTCTGCTTGGTGTTATCGGCGGCGGCACGGTAAAAAATGAAGCACAATGATGTTATTCATGATGGGCACTTAAAAGAAGCACTGGCAAAATTATGTGAAAACTTGATTCAACCTACCAGTAAGGTAAATAATTATGTAATTAAGTTATTTTCTGGACTAAAAGATTGTGTATTTTGTTATATGTCGGTAGGTAGGGAAGAGGAGTTTGAAGAAGGAAAAGGGGGAAGCGATGAAGAAGGGGAGAGGGATCATCGGAGAAGAAGATTGGAGGGTGGGATAGTTATGAGAGAAGAAAGAAATAGGGTGCTGGTGGTGCTGTTTATAATTTACTACTCCATCCGGTCCAAAATAAGTGATTTTTTCAGATTTCAAGAATGAATTAATTATTTTTTTCCTACGTTGTCCTTAGAGTAAATAGTGTTGGAATATGTGTTAGAAGTGTTTATGTGAGATAATAAAGATTAATATGGTCAATTTAATTGTTAATTAATGCTAAAAGATGAATTTCTTAATCTGTGTGAAAACATCCAAAAACATCACTTATTTTGGACCGGAAGGAGTAGTTTATTAGGTTTTTTATTAATTTTATTTTTAATTGTTTAGCCACGTGTCAAATATTAATTGGTTCTAAAATTATTTTCGAATGTGTAATCACACGCGATGTGAGCTTACTAGGTCGGGTATTTATTTGATACACTTGATAGTCACTTGAAGTGCCTAACTGAAAATGGGCTCAGTTGAGATGTCTAGTAGTTAAGGACAACTTAAAGGGGTTATTTATGTATTTCGCCAAGTTTCAAATTTTACTTAGATTGAATTGCGAAATTTTTCGAAAATTTAAAAAATACCAAAAAAATTCTTTTTCAAAATTTTCACTTCAAATCACTTACAAAAATTTATAAACAACTCCAAATTATATTCATATCCAAAAACAACTCTAAATTTTAAATACCATTTTCATTATTTTAAAAACTCACTTTTCTCCGGAATGTTACAATTCTTATGTCCAAAATGCCCGCTACAAATCCGTTTGTCCATAAAAATTTCAAATTTCACTTAAATTGAATTTCGAAATTTTTTGAAAATTTGAAAAAGACCAAATAGCTGTTTTCCAAAATTTTCACTTCAAATCACTCAAAAAAATTCAAAAACAGCTCCAAATTATTTTGATATCCAAAAACAACTCTAATTTTTAAATACCCATTTTAACTTTAAAAAAAACTCACACTATTAGTTCCAAGAAGAAACAAAGGAGAAAAATCTCCCTAAGAGATTGTCTTCTTCTCATCAATCGCCATTAACTTCAGATGACAGAAACTTCACAGTATCCTACAAATGGTAATTCCATCACCCAAAGGGACTTGAGAAATTTGAATGCGAGAATCAGCAGCTAAAAACTTGTTTAGTTCGATAATGTGATGCCTGTCTGGTTTTCGAGCTTCTGGAACAGACTCCTCTGGCATAGCAACTGTTCCAAACCAGAGTGTGTTATCATATACTATTATGCCACCAATTTTCACCAGCTGCAACAGTCTCTCATGGTACTTTTGATAACTACCTTTGTCTGCATCGACAAAAGCAAAGTCGAAACTTCCTCTGTTGCTTTGCTGCAAATAACAGAATATACTTTAAATGACACGTGAAAATAAGGACAGCCCGGTGCACTAAGCTTCATTTATCTGTGCGGTCAGGAAAGGACTGGACCACAAGGGTCTATTGTAAGTTATTCGCTGCTTATGCTTGTGAGAAGCAGCCCGTGCGAGTTCAACCAAACTCAGCATTTCGACATAATATGTGTGTGTGGTGGGGGCTGCGTGCACACTACTCGCCCCGACCTCACTCGTGAGATTACACTGAGTTTATTGTTGTTGTATACGTTTGTGTATGAGTGTGTGTAAGTGATGATAAATTACTAAAATACTACTATTTTTCTTTCAATTTACGTAAATCGATTTGATTGAGCATGTGATTTAAGAAATAAATGAAATTTTTTGAAATTTGTCTGTCTTCGATAAGCCATAACATTTGTATGGATAAATTTTCGTTAAAATTTGTAGTATTAAATATGCTATAGTTTTTATGGCTTTAAAAACTTCTCATTAAGGATAAGACGGAAAGTTTAATTTAAATTATTTCAACATCTGGAGACGTGTCATTCTTTTTTAAATGAACTAAAAACGAAATATGTTCACATAAACTAGAACGGAGGGAATAACACAATATTATATTCCGAATGCATAAATTTAAAATTTTCATTCAGCATTTACAATTTTAAATGACGAATTCTATCAAATTTAAATACTAAATTCAGTAGAATAATTGAGATGCACACAAGCCAGAACGGTCTACCACCCTTATAAAAGAAGGTTTACAGTATTTAGATTTGTTTTACTTTCTTTAGTACATATAATTGAGATGGAGTGTGGTTTGGTTATATTTTTGGTAAAGGAGAGAAGAGAACACTTTATTTGGAATTTATGAAAATGGAGTTGAAAAACATGCTTGGAGCACTTTTTCAAAATCGGAATCTAAGTTGGAATTAAAAATTTATGATCAACATAAATTTTGAAAATAAAAAATTATTTTGAAAAAAGTGAATAAAATTTATGGCCAAACAGCTCCTAAGAACTAACTAACTTCCAATACCAAAAGAATTTAAGGTTTATTTTTCTTACATCTTCCAAGAGTTCATCAAGGGCTGATAAAGCCTGCGACTGTATGAAATTGATTTTGTGCTCAACTCCAGCCTTTTTGATAATTGGCAATCCCATCTCGTATGCATCCCGATTCAAGTCTATAGCTGTAATCTGCACTCAAACATCCCTTAAGAATTTATATGTTATGCGCATTTGTGAAAATATTTATTATTAAGTTGCTCGAACACGGATGCGGGTGTCCGACACGAGTGCTAATCTAAAGGTCGGATTCTTTAATATATAAATTCTAAGATTTGGGGATATAGATCTTAGTACATATATGGATGCGAGGATCCGACTAAAAATAATTCAAAAAAATAAAAATATAAAAATACTATGAGAAATTTTGTGGAATACTTACAAATAGCTTGTAAAGTATGAATTCCTTTTTTATCTCAAGTTGTAGATAAGTAAAAGATTGGTTTCCTAGATAAAATATGCATTTGTGAAGACATGTAGTAGGCGTTTAGACATAAGAATTACATAATTTTTGAAAAAAGTATTCTTTGAAGTAAAGTTGAAAAATGGTATTTGATATTTTAAATTATGTTTGAAAAGCGTCTTACTTGAAAAAAAATACTGTAGTTTTATGATTGGGGAATTGTTTTTTTTTTTTTTTTTAAAA